CTCTCTGTCTCAAATAAATAAATAAAATCTTTAAAAAAAAAATAAAATAATCAACATGCCTACTAATTTTTCTAAATTACTGGGCAAAATTTTATAATAATCTGTTTGGTTGCTCTAATAGGATCATTTGTATGTTTTGAACTTTTTGGTGTTGTGTAGGTGTTTGTCTTAATGTATGTAAATAAAATATACTGTGACCCCTTTTGAAGTCTGTTATGATGTTTTCAGAAAGGTTCATTCAGCGTGGAGTCTTATCAAGAAAGGAGAAATGAGATAAAATTTATGATGAAATAGAGTACTATTTCTTTTCACTTGTCTTCCAGGTTTGCCCAACAAGAACTTTATAGATGCTTAGCTGACAAAGGGATTCAGATTTTGTTTCACTTTAAAGTTGGAAGCCTAGAATTATGTATGTGTCTGTATGAAGCAGGTTTGAAGGTACTTGGTCGGGAGATATGAAAGATAGAAAATTTGAGGATGTGAAAGTAATGCTCCTATGATGCGAAAGCCCAATTCCAAAATATCTTACAGATTCTTAAATTCTTAACTGTTGCCATCTCATTTTTCTTTCTAATTTACAGATTTTGGAACAAGTACTAGCAGTGGGGGACTTTTTGGTACTACAAATACAACCTCCAATCCTTTTGGTAGCACATCTGGCTCCCTCTTTGGGCCAAGTAGTTTTACAGCTGCTCCTACTGGGACCACTATTAAGTTTAATGTAAGTCTTTCCTTCCAGTCTTTGTGGAATATATTACTCTTCCATTTGTATATCTCTTTGCAGGATGAATGGTAAAATTTCTCCTTTTTCCAGTTATGCACAGTTTAGTCTCACTCTTCTTGAAAGATGTGTTAAGAACAAAATCTGTAAATATTTATATAGTAGGTGGGAAAGTCATGAAACATAAATCTTGATTATGTGTATTTGAATCATGCTCAGTCCACCCAAATTTATATTCACAAGGTTGATTACAGTAGGTAGTATGAGGTTGAACTTGTATTTACTGCATTCATAACTTGGCTCTGAATGATCAGCATTCCTTATATAAAGGAATGAGGGGGCAAACTAAAAAAAATTATTGAAAATAGGGCCTCTTTCAAGACAAAATCAGAGAGGGAGACAAACTATAAGAGACTCTTAATCATACTGAGGGTTGCTGGAGGGGAGGGGGATGAGAGGATGGGGTAACTGGGTGATGGACAGTAAGGAGAGCACATGATGTAATGAGCACTGGGTATTATATAAGACTGATGAATCACTGAACTCTACCATCTGAAACTAATAATACACTATATGTTAATTAATTGAATTTAAATTAAAAAAATACTCTTTAAAAAGAACAGGGCCTCTTTAAAGAGATATATGGAATAACTCATCAATATTCTGTGTTCCAATGAAAAATAAAACTTCTCTTGATGAAATGGCAAAATGGGGCAATAGAGTTAGATGTTTTCTTGGCTATTTTGAGAGAACTTGATAGAGGATTAGAGTGGAAGATTTATTAATGAAAATGTATGGAATACTACTTGATATAAGATACCACTTGATGTGATTGGTTGGGAGATCCTTAGAATAGGCTGGAGGTACAGTTAGCCTAAAGAAAATCTGGCACAAAAAGGTCTTGGCTTAACTTCTTGTTAAAATTTATTCTAGGAAATGAAGAATTTCTTAGGCAAGGTGGCGAAGTCATAATTTAGAAACTGAACTTTATTTTATTTATTTATTTTTTATTTATTTATTTTTAAGATTTTATTTATTTGAGAGAGAAAGAGAGCATAAGCAGGGTGGAGGGACAGAGGGAGAAGGAGAAGCAAACTCCCCACTGAGCAGGGAGCCCGATGTGGGGCTCGGTCCCAGGACTCAGAGATCATGACCTGAGCCAAAGACAGATGCTTAACTCACTGAGCCACCCAGATGCCTCAAAACTGAACTTTAGAATTTAGAAACATACTGAATTTAGAACCCTAAATTTAATATAAACTTAAATATAAATGATAGTGAAAAATACTGTGTGTTATCTCTTGGAAAGTACAATAATTGAGAAAACGACAATACATGTAGAAATCTTTAGTTACATATTGTGCCTTTTTCCTTATAAAGTTACAGGGAAAAAGCCAGGCTTCCGTATTTCTTAAATGCAACAACTTATAAAGCAGACACTTCAAAAAATTAAATAAAATAAAGCAGACATTTTAGAGCAGGGTAGGGGGCAATTAAGCCTGAGTAATACAGGTTTAAATGTACATGTTGGGTAAATTGGATAAAGTTTTTCTTATGCAGGTAATCTTAAGTGTATTTTATTTATTTCTTTTATTTTTTTTAAAGATTTTATTTATTAGAGAAAGAGCACGAGCAGGGGGAAGGGGCAGAGGGAGAGGGAGAAGCAGGCTTCCTGCTGAGCAGGGAGCCAATGTGGGGCTCAATCCCAGGACCTTGGGATCATGACCTGAGCCAAAGGTAGATGCCCAACCAACTGAGCCACCCAGGTGCCCCTTAAGTATATTTTAGTAGATAATTAGATGGCTTGGTTATGGGCTTAATATCTGATAACTATTACTGATACTGATTTATTTAGATAACCTTGATGTAAGGAGAGGAGAGATCAGAAATGCAGTATATTTAATTAAGTACCCTTGAAACTATCTCATTTAGCAGAAGACCTACAGGACTAGTTACTATAGAGTTCAGTGGTTGAAGAATTGTGTCTGTGAGAGTAGGGATTTAGAGTTTGGACTTAAACATTTGCTCCAGACTTTCAGATTTGCCTTTATCTTCTTTTGCAGCCTCCAACTGGTACAGATACTATGGTTAAAGCTGGAGTTAGCACTAACATCAGTACCAAGCACCAGTGCATTACTGCTATGAAAGAATATGAAAGCAAGTCACTAGAGGTCAGTAAAATGCAATACAGAAATACCAGCCTAACCTTTTGATTCTATTGGAAAGCAGGTTTTAAAAATGTTTTGATTATTTTTAGGATCAAGTGGTTCACGTTGGGTTTATGTAAAAAACTAACAACCACATTTTTTTTAAGTAAGCTCTATGCCCAGTGTGGGGCTTGAACTCACGATCCCAACCGAGAATAAGAGCCACATGCTGTACTGATTGAGTCAGCCAGGCGCCCCACAGCCAAATTATTATTTTTTAAAAAATTTTATTTACTTACTAGAGCATGCAAGCACAAGTGAGCAGGGGAAGGGGAGGAGCAAAGGGAGAGGGAGAAGCAGATTCCTGGCCGAACAGGGAAGCTGATGCAGGGGTCAATCCCAGGACCCTGAGGTCATGACTCAAGCTGAAGGCAGACGCCTAACCAACTGAGCCACCCAGGTGCCCCCCCAAATTATTTTTTTAAATTAATGTAATCATACATATTTTAGGCAGGGCAATATTCAGCTTGTAAGTACTGGTATAGTTCTACTAGGTAGTCTATTGTAATAGATTTTATGTTGCTCACATTACACTGGGCAGTGTGTGTGTGCATGGCATGCGTGTTTTTTTTGTTTTTGTTTTTTTTTAATGATTGCTTTTTTGGGGAATATTCCACAACTCTTTTTTTTTTTTTTAAAGATTTATTTATTTGAGAGAGAGTGCACATACAGAGGGAGAAGCAGACTCCCCACTGAGGAGGGAGCCCGATGTGGGGCTCAATCCCAGGACCTTGGGATCATGACTTGAGCTGAAGGCAGATGCTCAACCACTAAGCTACCTAGGCACACCCCATGCACATGTTTATAATAAACTCATGAAAAATCCTAAGTGTACCACATAGTAAGTTTTCACCAAGTGAACATACCCATGTAACCAGGATCCAGATTAAGTCACAGAGCATTACCAGCATTCCTGATATCCCCCATATGCCCTGCCTCCCTAGTCACGATTTCCGCCCCCTTCTAAAGGTAACCACTATCATGATTGTCCATATTTTCCTCATTTCAGACTTTATATAGGTGAAATCTTGCATTATGTGCTTTTAAGTCTGTTTTTCCACATTGTGGGATTTATCCATGGCGTTTCATGAAGTTACAATTTGTTCATTTTTTTTTTTTTTTTTTAAGATTTTATTTATTTGAGAGAGAGAGAGACAGGAGGGCCTGAGAAGGGGGAAGCGTCAGAGGGAGAGGCAGGCTTCCCGCTGAGCAGGGAGCCAGACATGGAACTCGATCCCGGCACTCTGGGATCATGACCTGAGCCAAAGGCAGTCGCTTAACCGACTGAGCCACCCAGGCGCCCCAGTTTGTTCATTCTTATTGGTGTGTGATAGTGTCTTGTATATTTTGAGTGTCAACCCTGATTGTAACTCTTGCTTCCTCTGCATCCCAAACTATACTTGCTTTATTGGAAACACCCTGACTGTGAGGCAAAATTGTTAATGTTAAATTTCATCCCTTCTTTCCCTAATTTTCTGAGACCCCCTCACCCCATCCCAGAATCCTTGATCTTTTTAGCTAATTTTTACATTTGGGGTGGGAGTAGATAAAATTATATAGCATTCTACTAAAAGAAAGTACTACTGTTTACAAAAGAAAATTAAAATTAAGATTGGTTAGTCCTTTGGCCTGTAGTGTTAGTGATTACGGTATGGATCTTAATGTCCATTCTACACTATTGAAAGTGTTTTTCTCTAACGATATTAAGTTAATGTTCTGTAGTTTTCTGTTTTTTAGTCATGGTTCTTATGTGAACATGGAAATTGAATTCTAAATTTAAGTATTGTTTCCTAAATAATTTTTTTGGCTGCATGTAAAGATAGGAAATATGCTTTCCCTTCTTCTAGGAACTTCGTTTAGAGGATTATCAGGCTAACCGGAAAGGCCCGCAGAACCAAGTGGGAGCAGGTACCACAGCTGGCTTGTTTGGGTCTTCTCCAGCCACCTCCAGTGCGACAGGACTCTTCAGCTCCTCTACCACTAATTCAGGCTTTGCATATGGTCAGAACAAAACAGCCTTTGGAACTAGTAAGCACTTGACACCATATTGAGCCATATTGAGGAGGGACAGACAACTGAAACATAATTGTCATTTTGTGATAAATGCTATGGAGAAAAATAATTCAGTGATGTTGGAGGAATAGAGTGATATATATGTGGGGATGGAGAGAAACAGAGTTTTAAATGAAGAAGGTTAAAAAGGGCCTCACTTTGATAAGGTAGCATTTGAACAGTGACCCCTCTGAAGAAGGCAAAGGATAAAGCTGTACAAATTGCTGGGGAAGAACATTCCAGCCAGAGGAAGCTATAAGTCTAAAACCCTGAGTTTTTTCCCAAAGAGATAAGGACTAAGGGGAAGTATTGAGGGATATAGGGACTATATTTTATAGGACTTTGTGGGCCAATGTCAAGATCTGAATTTTTATTTGAGTTGGGAAGCCATTAGAAGTTGTAGAAAGAGAAGTCATGTGATTATGAGTGAAGGATCATCTGAAGCCTGCTCTGTTAAATAGAGTAAATTGTGGTAGCTACATTTATGAGCATAGCATAACCTAGAGACTTGGGGAATCACTGTGTTGTATCAACTTCAGAAACTCAAGAAAAAGAAAAAGTAGGTTGTAAGGGGCGAGGGTGAAAACAGATCCGTTAGGAAAGCTATTGCTTCATTCACATGAGAGATGATGGTTGGTTGGCTAAGGAGATGGAGGTGGTAAAAATGTCAGATTCTGGACCCAGTGTGAACATAGAACTGATGGGATTTGCTAATAGATTGCTTTGATGTGGAATGTGAAAGAGGGAAGTCTAGGATGAGGACTAAATTCCTTTAATACAAACACTACTTTTGTACAGGTAATACATATATATGATAAAAAGTTCATGAGACACAAAAAAGTCTGTAACCAAAGTTATCTTCTTTCCCTCCCCTAGCTACCATTTTTCCCCCATAGAAACAAGCTAAAGTTAGACCTTTTCATGATCTTTTAGAGAGATTTATATACACCCACAAATACACAGATAAATATATGTTTAAGTGGCATTTAACATTCATTTCAATCCTGGTGTTCTGTGATGTAGCTTAGCCATATATTCATTATCAAGTACAATGTATTCTATGCTGGAATTATAAAGAGAAAGCCTCTGTTCTCAAGAAAAACTTAGTCTAACAGGGTTAAAATACACATACAGATTTTGAGTGTAGTGTGGTATCTTGTAAAATGGAAAGTTTTGGACTCACAAGAGGAAAATTACTTAGCCCAGCCAGGGTTCTTGGGGTCAGAATATTACTGTAGGAATTAAAGTCTGAACGAAATCCAAGTTAGGTGAAAAAGGATGGGAAGTGAAATGTTTATCTAGTTTGAGTAGTGAATTAATGTAGGGTAATTTAGATATGTATTCAAGAATATTAAGGCTGTTGCAGTAACTGAGTAACGTAAGGTTTGAGGGTTTTTTCCTCCATTTATTTTTACTTTATTTGTTTCTTTCTGAAAGGTACCACTGGATTTGGAACAAATCCGGGTGGTCTCTTTGGACAACAGAATCAGCAGACTACCAGCCTCTTCAGCAAACCATTCGGCCAGGCCACAACCACCCAGAACACTGGCTTTTCTTTCGGTAATACCAGCACACTAGGACAGCCAAGCACCAGCACCATGGTAAGCAACCAGGCCCTTCGTTAACGCCACATCTTACATTCATAGAGCTAAGTAATGAGGCTTCTAATCATGTCAAACTAGCAAGTTCTACCTCTAGTAGTTCTTAAGGGTTGATGGTATGTAGTAAAGGAAAGAGCAAAATGTAAAAAATTAAAACCTAGATTCTAGTACAAGCTCTACTCTTTACTCATTGAGAGGCTGTTGAGCAAGTTACCTCTTCTTTCTGAGCTGCTTAGTGTGCTAGAATTGGCCATCCTGAAGGCTACACCTTAGGACATTGGCTGTATCCATTCTGTAGAGTAATAGGAGAAAATACTTATAAATTACTGGCTGTATTTCAGAGTATTCTTTCATCTTGTTCCCTTAAGTGGGGTCAGGCAAAGGTGTGTAATTCATTAAAATAAATAAGGGAGCATTAAAACTCAGAGCTATATTGGATAATTGGTACTTCTGTGCAAAAAGCAAAAGAGGAAGTACTTAGAGTCACTACCAGTTTATTTCTAAGGACTCTTCTAGGGAAGAATAAAATTAAGATTAATAAGAGGTATGATTTATTGATTAGAATTCTTGGAATTTAACTGGCCTTTAAGTTAAAGATACTTTATCTGATTAAAAAACAATTACAGCCAGACCCCAAAATCTTAGAAATACTGGCAAACAAAATTTAGTAACATTAAAAGGATTATAACCATACCATGTGGGATTCATCCCAGAATGTTGGTTCAACATAGAAAAATTAATAAACCAGAGAAATAAAAAAGGGATGCCTGGGTGGCTCAGTTGGTTAAGCTTCTGATTCTTGATCTCAGCTTAGGTCTTGATCTCAGGGTCATGAGTTCAAGCCCACATGGGGCGGCGGGGAGCGTGGAGCCCACTTAAAAAAAAAAAAGGATAAAAGAAAAACAATAAAAAACAGAAACCACATGACTTCAGTAGGTACAGAGAAAGCGTTTGACACCCTTTCATGATAAAAACACTAAACAAAAAATAGAAAGGAACCCAGAATAGCCAAAATAATCTTGAGAAAGAAGAAAGCTAGAAGACTCGCATGTTTCAATTTTATTTTATTTTATTTTTAAAGATTTTATTTATTTATTTGACAGAGACACAGCGAGAGAGGGAACACAAGCAGGGGAGTGGGAGAGGGAGAAGCAGGCCCCCGGCCAAGCAGGGAGCCTGATGCGGGGCCCGATCCCAGGACACTGGGATCATGACCTGAGCTGAAGGCAGACACTCACTGCCTGAGCCACCCAGGCACCCTTTCATTGTAATTTTTAATGGGTATTGTGGCATAAAAAACTAGATAGTAGTATTTTCAAAAATTTGAAGAAATTGGAAACCTTATACATTACTGGTAGGAATGTAAGGTAATACAACCACTTTGGAAAACAGTTTGGTGGTTCCTCAAAATGTTACACACAGAGTTACCATTTAACCCAGTAATTGCACACCTTGGTATTTCACCAACAGAAACGAAAACACAAAAATTTGTACACAAATGATTATAACATAGCCAGAATGTAGAAACATCTCAAATGTCCATTAATGAATGAATTTAAAAAAATGTGTATTCATACAGTGGAATATTACTCGGCCATAAATGGAATGATAAATGTTACAACGTGGTTGGGACCTTTTAAACATGCCAAGTTTAAACAAGTTAAGCCATCCACAAAGGACCACATTTTATAGGATTTATAGGACAAATCCATGGAAACAAAAAGTAGATTCGTGATTGATTGCCTAGGAATAGGGAGTGATTCTTAACGGGCCTGGAGTTTCTTTTTGGAGTGATGAAACTGTTCTAAATTTAGAGAGTAGGGGTAATTGCATAAGTCTGAACATAGGGAAAAAAACCTAAATAGTGAACTTTAAATGGGTAAATTTTATGGTATGTGAATTATGTCTTAGTAAAGCTGTTTAAAAACACTGTGTTTGGGGCACTTGGGTGGGCTCAGTCAAGCGTCTGACTCTTGGTTTGAGCTCAGGTCATGAGCTCAGGTATGTCAGATCGAGCCCCACATCAGACTTCATGCTCAGTGGCGAGTCTGCTTGAGACTCTCTTCCCTCTCCCTCTTCTCCCCACCTCCCTACCCCCCACATGGGCTCGCACGTCCTCTCTCTCTCTCTCGGTCTCAAATAAATAAATCTTTAAAAACAAACAAAAAACCCAGCACTGTTGAATTCTCAGTTCAGTAATAATAGTCCATTAGTGCAGTATTTTTTTGTTGTTGTTAACTAATGCAAAAATAAAATACCTTCTTAAACATTGGATATGAACTTTGCTTATTTGAAATGAGTGTAGTTTTTTTTTTTTTTTTAAAGATTATATTTTTATTTGACAGAGACACAGCGAGAGAGGGAATACAAGCAGTGGGAGTGGGAGAGGGAGAAGCAGGCCTCCCGC